ATAAACCCTATTTAATTCCTTATATTAAATAGGGGAACTTGTCGGCCAATACATTGGTTTCGCAGACCAAACGGATGTCATAACTTTCTTTAGTTTATTTAATCAAGCCTCACCCTCAACTCTTATGTTCATCCTTCGGGATAGATACAGGATTTGAGGTAATGCGCTCTTTCATCTAAACTATGAAAATTATGGGGTCACTTTGACTTCATCTTTTTCAAAACCCAACTTTTTAAAACGTCCTTCTGAAGCGGGCAACGGGATTTCAATTTCGATGACCGACAGCTTCTTACGGGCAAACCCCACACCAAAAATAGTGTCGACAGCCCTAACCCATCTTAAGATTCCGAGGTTGTCATTTGTCACGACCTAAATCCTCACATCTTTCAGGTCATTTGTGTAATTGTTTTACACAAATTTAATCCCTAAATTAATAAAATTGGTAGGATAAAATATTCAATGATTCTAATTTCTCTCTAAAACTGAAGCCAAATAGTATGATGGTTTTGGGAAGTCTCTGAGGTTCTCCTCAAGATCTATGACATCCTTTAGTTCTTCCTCCTTTGGATTCCAAAATAAAATTTTCTAAATTTGAGCCATTCCTCTTTCACACCTCTTTGTCTGATCACTTTGAACTCGATAAAATGTTCTTATTCCTTTGAACTCTTTGCAGATAAATTCCCTGATTTTTATCGAGAGTTTTCCTAGGTGCTCTTGGTTATCTAGGATGTAATTAACTATAGGGGTTTGCCCTTATAGGAAGATTTTTCGAACCCAGCTTAATATAAACCTATTTAATTTTTCATATTAAATAGGGGAATTTGTCGGCTTATAATAAAATGGTTTTGCAGATTTAACGGATGTCATACAATCTTTAGTTTATTTAATCGAGTCTTACCAGTAAGTGGCGTGTGTATCCTTCATGATGAATAAATTATTTTTGGTATTTTGCTTGTTTATTTAAACTACTGAGGATGTGAGATCAGTTTGGTCTTGTATTTTTAAAAATCTAAAATACTGTTTTTCCAAATTATATATTAAATTAAATTAAAACGGGTGTTGGGATATCCATCTCAACAACCGATAAACCCCAACCTCCCTTACTTTTTAGTGCCGACACTTCCCCTTGGCCATGGTGTTTTTCGGTAGCTAGGGTGGCTGACCAGCCAAGGTCAGGTCACCATTTGGCCAGGGGGGCTCAGAGCATGGTTTTGGTGAAGTCAATAAGGGTTGGCCATGTGTAAAGGTTTTGGATTAAAAAGAAATGAAGGTGAACCTATTTTTGGGTCAATTTGAGTCAAAGCATGAATTTGGGTTGGGCTCATCCACCAAGGCTGGTTTGGGCTGAAGAGGAGATCACTTGGCTCAGCTTAATTAGTGAGGAGAGGTCCCTATCGAAAGGATTTGGCTAAGCATTTGTTAGAGTGTGAAACTAAAAGGGTTAAAAACGTTAAAAACTTTTTTAAGGAGGCTTGAAAGTGGCTCCTCCTTTTTCCATTAATAGCTTGGTGAGGTGACAAAGGCTCATATGGCTCACCTATGGCTTGGGGATGGCTTCATGGCTTGTCCTTGGCTTGGTCATTTGCATGAAAAAGGATTTTTGGATTTTATGGGGTATTTTTGAGGAGTTTTTCATGAGGCTTAATATGGAATTATTTGATCATGAATTTAAAACTTAGGGAATGATTTTGATTAAATGAATGATGGAAAGAAATTTCATGCCATGTGGGCTTTAGATTTGGCTTTTGGAATTAAGTGTGGTGGGCTTGGGCTTTTGAAATTGGGGTGAATTTAGGCTAAAATTTGGGTCAATGAAATGTTTAATTTGGTGTAGGGAGCTGTCGTAAAGAGTTTTGAAAGGGTTTCAAGTGATTTTGAATTGAAAAGTTAATTTGGGGATTTTGGATATATGGCTAAATTGAGGCAAACTTGGGGAGTTTGGTCCAAGTTGAAATTGAGTGTGATTAAGGCTTGCTAAAGAGAATTGAGGGCCCAATTTGATGTGGAGAATAGTTATAAAGAGTTTTGATTCCAAATTTAAGGCAATTGGATAGGGCATGGGGTTCAATTTGAGGAGATTTGATCACTTGGTCAAAATTAGGTCTTTTTTATTTGTGTTAGAATTGAGCTTGCAATTGGGTCAAATTGGGTTTGTATTTGGTTTCAATTGGTATTAAGAATGTTGAATTTTGGTTTGGATTTGAAATTGGGCAAGATTGGGGTTAATTGGGCCAAGATTGAGGCTAATTTGGGGAAATTGGGCCTTTAAGAGCAATGCAGGGCTTTTGATCAAAATAAATCAATTTGGTCAAATTGGGTCAATGTGATGGTTCAAAGTTGAAATTGGGAATATTGGGATGATTTTGGAATTTTTGGAAATTTTGGGTCATAAGTGGTATTTTGGTAATTTTGGCAATTTTGGAGGTATTTTGGGGATTTGGAATTTTGGTGAATTTGGATAGTGGGGAATGATTTGAAATGAATTTTGGACAAAATTGGGTGTTTTGGGCAATTTTGGGAATTTTGGTAAAAGCTAAGGTTGTTGGGGTATTTTGGTGATTAATAATCTTGGGCTAGGATGGGCTAGTAAGCCATGAAGCCATGTCAAATCCATAGGAGCCATATGAGGACTCGTTTAGGATGTTCAATATGTTGATCCTAACCCTCTTAGCCATGGGATAGGGGTTTGGGTCCATCCATATGAGATTTCCTAAAGGAGTCAGGAGACTAAATTAAGGGGTCCTAAGGTTTGGGGTGTGTGAGAAAGTGCAGTGTGTATAAGCTAGCCTAATTAAGACCAGACCACCCAAGGTTAGTTCTAAGGCTTGACCATACTATGGGGGACTCTCCTTGAGCTCCCTCATATGGACCCCACCTACTAAGTGCTAGAGGTTATGACCAATATGTGAAACTTCAAGTTGAGCAGAGAAGAGTTTAGAATTTCTAATTGTGAGGGTTCTTTTCTAGTTCTCTAGGAATAGTCAACAAGAAAGTCCTATGGCTAGACCCTAGGCTACCAAAGAAAAAATAATATACCTCAACCAAAAGTCAGGTCAACAATCATGTGAGCTCAATTTGGGCCTTTTCAAATTAATGTGCTGGGTCCTTAAAAATGTTCATGTAAATGGGCTTTTGAAAATATGCATGAAGATGGGTTTTCTTTTGGTTGAAATTGGGGTTGAATTTAAAGCTGGGTAGGTTGTGAGTATATTGGGTGAAAATTGGGGTTAATTTGATCAATTGGGTGCAAATTAAGGATTTTGGGCTTTAAGGGCAATTTTGGTAATTTTAGGAATCTTATGTAAAATTTGGTCAATTTGGATGACTTGGAGTGATTCAACTTGATTTTTGGTTGAAATTTTAGAATTTAGGCAATTTTGAGGATTTTAGGGTTTCAGGACAATTTTGGGAATTTTGTGAAGCTTTGGGGGTTGGAGGCCAAGGTAGGGTATTTAGGTGGAATTGGAGGTCATTGGACATACCAACCATGATGTTACCCCTTGGATTCCATGAGACCAATGGGAAAACCCATTTTAGATCATCCATGTGTTGGTCCTAGCTATCCTAGCTAACGATTAAGAGCTTGGGGGCCACCCACATTAGTTTTCAAAAGACTTGGGAAATGGGTTAAATGTAGGTAATTTTAGGGTTTGTGATGTGTGTGTTTGTAATAGATTCAAGTGTGAATGTGTGAAATCCTGACCAAGACCATGCCACCCAGGGCTAACACTAAGACCTGACAGTCTTATGGGGACTTCCATTGAGAGGGGAAATTGATGGAGGAGGACAACGGAGTCAGAGCAATCATAGTGACATTTTTGCTACCAAATGTTGAACATAGGTTGAAAAACTGGCACAATTTCACGTTATGGAATGTCAGATAATCTGTGTTGCGGTGGACGAAACGTTCGTCAACGATAATTGCCCAAACAGTACTTCTCCATTTTCTTGGTTTCTCGCCAAACTGCAAGGGAGAGAACAAGCTTGCTCAAATGAGGCCTTCATCACTTCCATCAATTTTAATATGATTTTTTTTATCGTTTCGTTTCTCATAAAATTTTCAAGGGAAATCTACATACATATCACAAAATTTTTATAAAGTTTTGTATATAACACATAAAAGTTTAATATTACAATTATATCTCTCAAATCATCCCAACGTGCCGCAATAATGTTCATGAACATGATCGGGATGTAGGGGTTGAAGCTTGCGAAGGTGGGTAAGACGTCGCCACAGGAGCTCACGAAGATGAAAGTTTCGAAGGTCTTTGTATGCACAGGAGCGCAAAAAGATGGGAGTTTTCAGAGATCTTCGTATGTCGCATTCCGATCGCTACCTTTCCTCTAAAGCTGGCAAATGAGGGTGGGCGGATTTGGGTATTGTTTTAGGCAGGACCAGTGCAGAAGGAGGAGAATGATGAGTCTTTTGGAAGTGTTTTTTATGTGCCGAACTAAGAGATGGGACTTTTGGAGGTGTTTATATGAGGTGATCTTGTTGTCATGTTCACGAGCGATTCTGTTGGGGAGTTTTAATTGGGAATTATAGAGATGATTAACAGGAAATAACTTCGCGGTATCTTTGTAGAATTAAAATTTTAGAGTTTAATGTAAAACTTAATAAGAAGTAGATGCTCTGCAAGTAAATGTCCATTATTTTAAAAATAAATAAAATCGCTTACAATTAGTAATGACACATTAATCCTTGATCATGACCCATTTATCCCTCCAATTATCAAACGCGCATTGACAGCAACGAAAGCATATAAACAACGCTTCCCCCAATCACGACAAAAGCTTTCTCGACCGTTGCTCCACAGCAACATTTAAATTTCCCGAGCCTCCTATCACCGTCCAAAAACTATCATCAACCGATCAAATCCATCCGTTTTACTGGACCGCAATATTAAACGCGCAGACCCGTTGTCGCCATCAACCTCTGTCCTGTTGGTAGTACATATAAACTCGTGCCACATCAAAGCACTCAGAAGTAAGATTCACAGAAGGTCCAACACAATTAGAAAATGGTTTCGAGGATCACCAGAAAGGCTCTCACAAAATCCTCAAAAAAAAGCCCCAAAACAGCCCGCCGGTGGCCTAAAAAGTCATCCCCTTCCCCTCTGAAATCCTTTTCCTCAGCTGCCACCTCATTCAATCGATCCCTTTCTTCCTGCCGCCGGCATCTCTTCAAGATCTTTGCCTGTTTCACCGTTTTCCACACACCTAATAAGCGAAAACAAGGCTTTCACCGCCTCGTTCCAGCCCACATTGACACAAAGGACATCAGTTCTCTGCTTTCTGCACCCTTTCTTCCTCCTCCCACATTTCCCAGGAGGAAAACAGTTTTCTTTGATCTTGATGAAACACTAATCCACTCTTGCACTGGGATCCCGCCTGAGCGCTATGACTTCACCATTCATCCGGTGATTGATGGTAAAGAGATTACTTTTTACGTCTTAAAGAGACCAGGCACGGACGAGCTCCTCCGCGTCGCATCAGAGGTATACGAAGTTGTCATCTTCACCGCCGGACTTAGAGAATACGCGTCCCTCGTCCTGGAACGGCTCGATCCCAACAATAAGTTGATATCCCACCGGCTTTATAGGGACTCGTGCCGGGAGATGGAGGTGGGCAAGCTAGTGAAGGATCTCTCTGGTCTTGGCAGAGATATGGGCAAAGTTGTGATAGTTGATGACAATCCTGCAAGCTTTTCACTTCAGAAGGAGAACGCTATTCCAGTTTCCCCCTTCATCAACGATCTCGATGACCGGGAACTCAGGGAGGTGATGAAGTTTTTGAATTTCGCAGCTAATTTTGAGGACACGAGAGAAGCTGTGGCTCTGTATCTCTCGGGATGGTGGAAAAGTGAGTCATAAATCAGTGATTTGGGGGTTTTTTTTAATGATTATTTCTTAGAGTTTGTGAACGAGTTAGTAGAAGGTTGCATAGCTTCTTTTTCAACCGAAGAAGGAGAGCTTTGACACTCCGAAAGTTATTTTTCTGTTCTTATTCGTTGATTCTTCCATGTAGTTGTTCTACGGCGAGGAATTTGGGCAATGTTAAATTAATTTGAAGGAAACTAGTTCCTTTTAAAGGCTGAATCTGATTCATTGAAACAAGGAAGTTATGCCAAATCACAATATTTTGTAAAATGTGTGTTGTTCTAATTTTTCATCTATAAATTTTGATGGGTTCATACCATTAAAAATTTGTGTGGCTATAAGATAGATTCATTGAAACAAGGTGAAGTTATGCCAAATCACACTTTTTTGTAAAATGTATGTTGTTCGAGTTGTTCATCTATAAATTTTTATGGGTTCATACCATTAAAAATTTGTGTGGCTATAAGATACTTTGCTTCTTTATGGCATATAATTCTTTCATTAGCGCAATGGGTGGGTATGGTAAATAAATTTGGATGCAAGTAGCCACTTTATGGGCATATGATTCATTGGGTTTAAGGCATATAATTCATGCATTACGAATATGTATAACAAAAAAATATATAAGAAATACATGTCTCTATTACAAAAATAGAGCATCTAAAATAAAGGAAAACAAACTAAATCTAATGTCGTCTCAAAAAACAAACAAAAGCATAAAATGCTCCTATTTCTCCCGAAGAGATCTCGGCCAAAGTCAACTATTTTATGATTACAACAATATATAAACATGCTTAAGGCCAAGTAGTATCAATTCAAAAAAGCAAAAGCCTTCGAGGCATATAAGGTTTCAACAAATTAGAGAAATCTCCTTCATGTTAAAAAAATAAAGGTTGCATGATGAAAAGTAGTATGACAAAAGCTCATTTCCCTTCAAAATCCAAAGAAATACTATAGACATTAAAACTGATAAGTAGTCAATAATCTCGTTGATTAAAAGAAGGTAAATCATAAAAGAAGGTAAATCACCCATAGGCAGTTGATCGCATTCTAAAGAAAGAATGCCTCAGAGGATTAGCATTTTGAAATAGATAAAAGAGAAAGGGCACTCAAAAAAGAAATGAGCATATGTTTTTACTGTTGCCCTTGCAGAAAATGTTTAAGTAGAGAAATTCCTTCTTTAATTTGATTATTCACTTCCTACTTTTGAATTTAACAACATTTAATATGACTCTCAAAGCAATATTAGCATTAGGAAACTCATTATTAAAAATAAGCGCATTTCTTTCGTTAATAAGCCATGAATTGAATAACAAAGAATGAAAACCTTCTAAAGATTTCACAGCTTATAGATTTAGCTTGTACAATAAATTATTGAAGTCAGCAACCTATTTGAAAGAATGCCTCAGAGGATTAGCATTTTGAAATAGATAAAAGAGAAAGGGCACTCAAAAAAGAAATGAGCATATGTTTTTACTGTTGCCCTTGCAGAAAATGTTTAAGTAGAGAAATTCCTTCTTTAATTTGATTATTCACTTCCTACTTTTGAATTTAACAACATTTAATATGACTCTCAAAGCAATATTAGCATTAGGAAACTCATTATTAAAAATAAGCGCATTTCTTTCGTTAATAAGCCATGAATTGAATAACAAAGAATGAAAACCTTCTAAAGATTTCACAGCTTATAGATTTAGCTTGTACAATAAATTATTGAAGTCAGCAACCTATTTGAAAGAATGCCTCAGAGGATTAGCATTTTGAAATAGATAAAAGAGAAAGGGCACTCAAAAAAGAGATGAGCATATGTTTTTACTGTTGCCCTTGCAGAAAATGTTTAAGTAGAGAAATTCCTCTTTTAACTAGATTATACATAATAGTTAGGCCTTCTATAATGACTTTCCAAAAAAAAAAAGTAGAGAATTTAAATCAATAACCTTTAAGCTAGTCATTTATGCCAAAAAATGAGTGATATATCCTTGTAGAAGTAGTAATAAGCAACTTTATGAGTACAATAGTTATTATCTTTTCGTCAATAAATGAGCCTAGAGCTAGATTAAGATATTTTTAGACTATGATTAATGCATTCTAAAAAATTGTGCTTTTAAGAGGAAATGTCCAAGAACCATTATTAAGAAAAGCAGCAATAGTTGTTTTTGTAGGACACCCAAACCAAGCAAAAACATGCCCTCTATATTTTTCATAGAGGGATATACCCTCTAACCATGGGTCAAAATTAAAATATTTTTTGCTATAGTAACTAACTTGAAAATTGAGACAATGCTTTATTCTCATTAAGACATGTTTAATTTTCTTCCAAAAAAATGTTCGATTTCCTTTTAAAGATTGAGAAGAAGAGCTACACTTGAAAAAAAAAATAGTTTGGAAGGTTATTATGAGAATTATAAATCCTCCACACAGTCTTAGCTTTACACATTACATTTAAAGTATTAATGTTGAGGTGACCCGAGCCACCAATGTACTTTGGCTTGGTTGTATTTTGCAATGAGATGGTAAGAATATTACTACCAGTGTTGAGAAATTTATTTTTAACAAATGAAATGATTTTTTTTTAACAAATGAAATGGTTTTTTTTAGACCCTTAGGAATAGTGGGAATACTGGATGATTTGAACCAACAGCTTCAAAAGCTTCAAATTGTACTTCTAATTTATGTAATCTTTTGATGGGGAACTTCCTCGTTTGGTCTAGGGAAGCTTTTGGAAAGATTAATTTGAGGCTTAATGGAGTTTGGTGGGGTGACGGAAAAATTTCTAGATTTGGGTGATTAAATTAAGCTTGGACAGTGGAATTGAGTGGTTGAAAGTCGTGGGGTTGAACTTAAGAAGGCTGGAGGAAGCTTTGAGAGCAATTTAGAGGGGTCTCCCTGAGGAATTTACAACACTCTCTCTATGGTCGAGAGAGGGTTAATTTAAATTGAAGAGGAATTAGGGCTTAATTGGCCAAGCCAGGAGATGGAGAAGGATGCTTAGATGGAGGGCTGAGCGGCGCAATTCACCAATGGAGGTGAGCCACATTATATGGGGTAGAAATTTGGATTTGAGCCAAGCATGACCTTCTCGGTTTTGGGTTTATCGATGACTAGGTTGGATGGCTAGGCCAAGGGAGGTGGTTGGCTTGTTCAGGGAAGGCCAGGGAAGGTTTAAAGGTGATTAGCTTTGAGGTTTGATGGCTGATGGCATGGGGTAGAGAGCTTAGCCAAATTAAGAGATGGGTTTGCATAATTCAAGGGACCCTTAGTCCATGGTTCAAAATTGGGTCCTTTGTTGATTTGATTAGCATCTTAGGAGGCTAATCAGGGGGTAAGAGATAATTAAACTTGGTTAACTTCAAAGGTTTGGAATAATTTGGATTTTAACCTCAAATTTTGGGTTTGGGATAAAAATTGTGTTTGTGCTTAACTTGTGCTTGGTTTAAAAATGAATTGAAGGGTCCAATTGGTCTAGGTGGGATGTCATGAAGAATTTAGGAAATGAATTTGGTGAAATTTAATTGATTACAATGTTCAATTTGATGGAATTTTGGCTTAGGGGTCTAGTTTGGGGTAATTAATTTGGGCTTGGATTTAGGTTAAGTTAGGGTTTGGATCTAGACCAATTGAAGGTTCAAATTATTCTAGGGGAATGCTATGAAGAGTCTTGGATTCAAAATTGAGCAAATTTGATTGGTTATGGTGTTCAATTTGATGGAGTTTTGGGTTATGGTCAAATTGGGGATCTTGGCTCAAAATTGAAATTAAAGTTTGGAGGTTGGTTCAATTGGGCTCCAAATTGGTGTATATTGGAATTAGGTAAGTTGATGTTCAATTTAGGTTTGACATTGGGTGAGATTGGAATGAATTTAGTGGAAATTAGGATGAATTTGGGCCTTTAGGGGCAAAATTGGGATTTGGTCAAAATTGGTTAATTTGGTCAAATTGGGCCCATTGGGTAGTTAGGATTGATTTAGCGGAGGTTTAGAATGATTTGGGAGGTTTTTGGGAATTTTTTTGGACTTGAGGGGTATTTTGGGAGTTTTAGGGAAATTATGGTGTTTTGGCCAATTTGGATGGTTTGAAGTGGTTGTTAACCTCATTTTTAGTGAGGTCTAGTCTTCCTCTTAGGGTTTAGGGTCTAGCCTTAGGATTCTTCCTTCGACTATCTTAGACCCTTAGAAATGGAATCCACCTCATTTTAGAAATCCAAACTGCTTGTATAATCTTTTGAAGTTCTGCATGTGGTTCTTGACCTCTAGCACGTAGGAGGTTGAAACTAACATGAGATAACTCAAAAGGAGTTCCTATAGGATCATTAAGCCCTAAGGTTGCCTCTTGCACAATTTGCACTTTCGCGCGCACAAACTTCGCAGTTCGGAGAGTCGACACGTTTGATCACTACAATTCACATTGCTTGCGCTGTTGTTTGTCAACAACTTGAATAAATTTTCGAGACGATCGATCGCAGATCGAAATTTTATGAAAATTAAAATTTGACACATTTTTGACCCGATTGTTGACGAGGTTGCTCGGACGACCACGGATGACGAAATGGACTGTGTCGGTGCGTCCGGAATGTCGAAATTACCTAGGGGAGACACCCATTTTGTTTGGGCACCGTGCACGAAACACGCAAATCGATGAATTCTTCAAAACGACCTCTGACGGCAAAACAGACCGCGTCGATGCGTCCGGAATGTCGAAATTACCTACAGGAGACACCAATTTTTCTAGGGCGCCGCACATGAATAAATTGCACAAAAATATATAGATATACACACACACACATTTTAAATAAAAAAAATCCTTATTTTTTTTTTAAAATACCTTAAAATGTCAAATTCCTAAATCCCTAACTCACGCACGCCTCCCTCTCCCATTCGTGTAACCGTCCGCCTCTTCCTCTCTCGGTCGCGTGCCCTAGCCGAGCCTGGTTCTCCTCACGTGATGCGCTGGCTCGAGGTCCCCTCGTCGTACGCTCCCATGCTTCGGTCTCTGGCCAAAGCTTCTACGCCGTGCCACGCGAGCTGCTCCTCTGCCTAAAAGCTTCGCCTCTATCGTCCTCTCCCCACGCGAGGTTTGTCGCTTTTCTATTGGCTCGGCTCACCGCCCAGATGAGGGATGATATTCTTCCTCCTCCCTCTTTTGCTATAAAAACCTCATTTGGGGAGTTCCTTAGGGTTGGCCGAAAATTTGGGAAATGGGAGGTTCTGCCGGATTCGTCACTAGTTTCTTTTCTTTGAAGTTTTTTT